TCTTATGCAATATTAATCGGTGATGAAGGAAAGCAATAAGGAATGGGATCAACATCAAGTCTTTCTTCCTCTTTCTCCCACACCCAAGGCCTAAGTCATGTCTAGATCTTCAGGATTGGGAGCGTCCAATCAAAGTGGTACAAAAGCTGAGCAAGTGGCAGCTCCATATTTGATAGCGCAAACGTTATTCCTGGACAGATCCTCCTTCCGGCACCAAATGGGATGTATTGAAAATCTGTGCCCCTGAAATCAACTGAACTATTAAGAAAATCTCTCCGGATAAAATGTCTCACATTTGTCTTGCTGGCTGTTGTCACCATCACTGAGCATATCAAATAAAATAAAAAATTTATCTAATAATCTTCAATAAATGAAGGCTAATCCATCTACATATTAGTAAAATAGCAGTTTGAATTGAGATAACTCCAATGCACTCACCTATATTTGATAAAAAAGACGAGCTCTACGCAGTTGCTTATCCTTGATGAATAAGAAAATCCAAAACAAAAGAAGATAACAATATTTCAAGCAATTCCCATTTCCAAAAGAAATCTCTGTATTGGACCATAGTATAAGGAAGTTGAACGCCAGAAGAAATCTCAATTTAGTACCAAAGCAAAATGTAAAAGTTCTGTCAGATCGGCGCAATGTCACAGCAAGTTTCCTCATGTCATACCAAGTCTCACCTTCACACAGAGATTTATTAATCTCCATCTTTCTACCGCTGTGAATTATTTACGACCAATAAAGTTGTTTTAAAAACTAAGAAAGAATGTAACAATTTTTTCTTAAAAGAGACTATGTTAGTTGAAAAGTAATGCATGTTTCATGTTTTTTTCAAAAGGAAACCATTTTTCAAGATATTCATATGTAAATTAGGGATCATGCTGGCCAGTTCTGCTATTTACTATTATTCTTAAATTAATTAAAAACATGATTTATTTGTTTTAATGATCTAAGAAAACATGTACAGAAATGTGTACATTCGTTAGAGAGAATAATAATTTGAATAAGACATATACGGAATATATCAGCTTAATTTTATATCAAGCAAGGTGGGGCTACTGAGATGGCCATGGAAGTTTTTCTCAAAGGATAATCGATGGGGGTACTAACTAGATATTCTTAGTTGAATAAGTGATGCATGCTTATCAGAGGGAATCAATTTTTCCAGCCATTGATATGTAAATTAGGGATCATGCTGGTCAGTTATATAATACTGTTTACTATTATTAAATGTTAATTAAAACCACGTTTTTATTTGAGTTTAAAAAAAAAAAAAAACTATTTTCGATATAATTAATTAGTATTTACTATACAGTTTTTACCTTTTACCAAGAGTTTGTTGATTTTGTTTGCCTAATCTCTTCAATGGTTAATTCAACGAATGGATGAAAAATTATGTAAAATAATATTGGTCTAATATATGTTGAACTCTCACCTACTAGTTTAAACTCATCCAGGAGGGGATAGAAAGTCATTGTAATTTTGCGTATATTTGGTGTATTTTAATGAGTATATCAACTAATTTATATAGTGGCTTTGAATACAATAAAGGCAATGATATAATCAGTAGATGTAATAAAGTCTTAATTACAAAATCAATCAAATAATTGTAAATCAATAATTGCTTGATTCCAACATGAATATCTTCAGCATTCCATATTTCATCAAAGAGTTTGTAGATGGATATTCAAATATAACTCTATGAATAGGGGCCTCATAATTATAGAGTTACATTTATAGAGTTACATTTGTCAAGTCTAAAGTGTTAAGTTCGAGATTGAGAATTTGATTTATAAGGACTAAATAATTTCTATATAAATTAAAAAAATAAAAATTGTAGGGTCGAGATGCCATGACCACCATATAAAGTAATTCTTAGTCAAGTGTCTTACTATTAATTTTGTTAGACTATATTTAATTATCGTTAGATTCTCCGTAAAATATCATTTCATCATTACACTGAGAATAGATCCGATGGTATTTAGTATGGTCTTGACACAATAAATATCTAGACTTTTTCAATTAATCACCCAGGCCCTAAAGTAAACACCGGATGAATCTCCTAGTAGTCACCCTTATTAGTGCCTGAAGGGACTAAAACTCAAAACCCATGTTGAACCTTTTTGCTCTTTTACCATCAGATGGCCACCTCACTTAAAAACTCATATTAAATCTTTTTTCTCTTTACTATCAGGTCACCAGAAATGGTTAGCCTAAATTACTTGAAGATTACAAAAACACCACACTAATAACTGTGAAGCCCCGTAGAGTGCTTATCCTTGATGAATAAGAAAATCCAATAACAAAAGAAGCAAAATGCCAAAAGCCCACTGCTACAATCACATGCCATAAAATAGGATTATTATTAAATCCCCCAACCATGAAGATAATGACAACTTTGTAAAAAACAAATATTTATTTCTGTCGTGGTTGGTTGCTTATCTCTATAGTCAATCTTATTTGCATTGTGATTAATTTTATGGGATGCTTTACTGCTTGTCCACCAAGTTGTTTGATAAAATTTCGGCTACACAAACGACCAGGGCTATTGATTCAAGTACCCATAATGTTATTCTAGAATTTTGATGCTAAATTCTGTATGGGCCTGCTCATTCAACTCTAATTTCATTCTGTCATAAAGTCTGAACTCTACACTGAGATTATTCAAATTAGTCCCCTTCACAGAAGATTGATTTACCACACATGTTGAAGAACAAGAACACATATCACAAGATGCTTAAAGTCTTAAGAAACACTTGAATCAGGAGAGGATTCAAATTCTTTTATCTTTAAATTGGGAATGAGAAACAGACCTTTGAATGATTATTGTGGCAGGCCCAATACAGAATTTAAAGAAAGCAACCTTGAATTGGGATTTATATTATAAGGAAGTTGAGATATTGAACGCCAGAAGAAATCTCAATTTAATATTAAAGCAAATGTAAATGCTCTATTAGATCGCACAATGTCATACCAAGCTCTACACAGAGATTTATTAATCTCCATCTTCTACCGCTGTGAATTATTTATGAACAATAGAGATGTTTTAAACACAAAGAAAGAAAGTAACAATTTCTTTGTGTTCTATTTGTTTCCTTTTTTTGCTGATGAAGGGTGGAGGATGATAAGGAATGGGAATAACGTGCAGGTTGTCTTTTCTAGCAACTGTTCACCAAAGGCCTCGGTCATGTCGAAATCTTCATTCTCATCTCACTGGGAAGTTTCCATCAAAATGGTAGAGACATCGCAAGAGGAAGCTCAACGTTGCTAGACCAAATGACATTCCTGGGCATACTCTTCTACCGCACCAAATGGGATGTACTCAAAACTGGTCCCCTTGTAGTCTACAGAATGATTAAGGAACCTCTCTGGATTGAAGATCTCGGGTTCACTCCAATGTTCTGGATCTCTTCCTATTGCCCATGCGTTAACAATGACTTGGTTTTGATGGGTATGTCGAATCCATTAATCACACAATTCTCTCTACATTCTATGAATTACAAAGGCGCCGGAGGATGTAGTCTTAGAGTCTCTTTATTACTAGCTTCAAGTATCATTTCATCGCCGCTAGTTTCATCGATCTTGCCTTCTCTATTGAAGATTTCCCTCACCTCAGCTTGTGCCTTCTCTAGCACTCTTGTATTTTTCATCATTTCACACATTGCCCAATCATAGTTGTAGCAGATGTCTCACCACCAGCAGCAAAAATGTCCTGGAAAGAGGTTCATAATAGATCTCAGCTGAAGGACAAATTTATACCACCAAAAAAAAAAAAATAAAAAAGGCAAATAATAATAAATTCTACATCATGATTTGAACTGAGCCACAAATTTTTTTCTTCAACGTTTCAAAGTCTTAAAAACTACCATGACATCATTTAGTATAACTAGAGCTGACGGTGAGTCGTGTTGTGCTTAAAAATTCAGACTTATCATGCTATGCACCGAGTCGTGCCAAACCGCAAAAATCGTTTCTGTCATGCTGTGCCAGCCCACCAAATTTGAAGGCCCATAATATGACTCACTATATATTGTGTCGTGCCCTAGGCCATGCTGTGGCCTACCCGTGTCCTTTGTAAAAATATTAATTTTATAAATTATAAAAATATTTTATATTATATTTAGTTACATTTTGTATTTATATAATTAAATAAATAATCCACTATGAACTATGAACTATAATAAATAATGAGAATTGAATATTAACTGAATTTCACACTTTTATTACTTCTAAATTATAATTATAAATTATAAATACAAACTTAGAAATTAGGATTAAGAATTATTATACATTTCATTTTCATTAATTTTTAAAATTTTAAAATCTTCAAATTTCTTATATGTAAACATAGATTAATATTTTTTTAAATTCTTTTTTTATTTTTTGTGTCGTCCCGTGTTAGCCTACGTGCCTTTTTAAGGCCCATGGCATGGCCCTCATAATCGTGGCCATGCCATGCCGTGCGTTTTTTTTTTTTTATGTTGTGCATTATTGTACCGTGCTTTTTTTGTCCCATGGCTGGCACAGTCCATCGTCGGCTCTATAAACAAGCGTGATGGTATGGTAGGCCACGTTATGGCTTTGGGAGCCATGGCCAACCCAGGTCCAAGGGAAATTTTGAAAATTACATTTAAAATGTATCAATTTACCGCCTAACATCTACGTATTCTCTTTGCTCCTTTATTTTCCCAACTCTGAACTTTGGTCCCCTAAATACAATTTCCAGATTTCATCATCACCACTACTTTAAGCTATGCATTTAAGGCTAGTGCGTGCCTAATCAAGTAGTTATACAGTTTGTCAAATTGTGCTCACATGATATTGGCTTAAAAAAGAAAATATCAAACAAAGTAAATGGAAACTAATTGATTTGACTTACCAAGACCACTGCTTTGATGTTGTCCATAGTTAAGGGAAATTGAAGATCACCATGCTGTTGAACTTCAAGAGAACATCAACCAGATCTTCAGCTTCCCCACTCTTTCAATGTTTAACGTTTCCCGTCTCTTCTTGTGGTCATTTATAATTTTTTCAACTATTCTGTCAGCTTCTTGATGCAGCCTCTCTATCTGAGACTTGACTCCAGTGATCCATGGAGAAATTAATGGAAGGAATAGTTCTGAAATACTAAAACCTGCCGTCACTTTTAAAGTTTCTTCCACAATGAAATGAATAATTCTTGATCTTTGGATTTGCCACCAAAAGCTGCCCTGGAAGTGATACCATATTAGTGAAGCAATTTTCTCTGTAAGGTTAATTGGTGATCCTGCTTTGAACCAACCAATCATGAGAGTAGCCACCTCTTCCTCTCTAATTGATCGGAAAGACTGGACTCTTCTCGCGCTAAAAGTTCCAACGTGCAAATTTTCGTAACTGTCTCCATAATCACCATATGGTGAACAGACTATATCAGTAGAGTCATAAACATGATATTGTTGCCACCGTTTGAGGCCTTACGCAAAGTTTATATCATGGGTTTTCATAACTTCTCTAGCATACTCCGGCGATGAAACAACCACCATGGAACTTCCCCGAGCTGTAGGTGCATAATGGTCCATATTTCCCGGCCAAGTCTCTAATCTGTGATGCGTAGAGAGCCTCCCAGCTGGTGCAAGTTTCCGATGAGAGGTAATTTCAATGGCCTGGAGGCTTCTTCGAGTTTGGCGTTTGCGCTTCTGGTCGTTTCAGAATTTTGAATAAAGTAAAAGAAAAAGGAGGAAGTTAAGATAAGGGTGAAGGATTGAATTGAAACTCCATGACTACAAGGAATTTAGTTACACCATCCCAAGCTTCATATATAAAAGAATTGATAAGAGCTGTTACCACAGTTAGGTATAAATAAATTTTATCTTTTAGTCTTGTAACTTTATCAAAATAGTAATTATCAGTATTTTTTATTCGGACGACCCTCTATTTTGTCAGGACTATGCATATATCTATTAGATTTAAATTAAAATATCTCAATGAGATAAATCCCTAATGCATAATGATTCTGATAAAGTTTACATTATAACGTTCTGATTAGAGAATAATATATACCATTATCAACCTAGCTAATGTGGTTATAATATATATATATTTTTTTTTTATTTTAAAGCGTTGTGCAAAGTAGAAACTGCATTAAATTTACATTATTTATGAAAGACAATAAATTATATTTCACGAGGCCCCGAGAAAATATATCTTTTTGAAATTTCCTATTGTTGATGCGGGATTTTGACATCACCTAATCGACACGTACGCAACGTTGGTTGGCCATGAAACACACGTGAATATGATAAAATGTAGTAGTAAGAGCTTTTTAAAGTGGTTCGGATGCAAGGTAACAAGTCCTACGTCCACCGATAGTTGTATTAATATTGTGGGTCAGGTCGCAACAGCGGACTGACTTACAAATGATTAGTGAAAAGTAAATGCAAAGATACAAGAGAGAGAGTGTAGCTAATTCAGAGTGTAAATGGTCGATTCCCCTCAATAAAGGGTCTTCTCCTTTTTATAGTGAGATGAGTGCAAGTATCATCATTAAATCCGTGGGTTGGTGTGAATGTCAGGACAAAATTCGGCTTTATCACACTGCCCACCTTCCAAACTGATTTCACGCGATTTGGAGCAGTGAATGGCCACGGGATCTCCACGGTGTCTAGCAGGTCTGGTGCACGCTACCGTTCGCGAAAGCAGGTCACACTCCATCACATGATTTCCTACGTCAGCCCTTGATTTCCTAGCATAACACCTATGGATGATAATTCAATGTTTCGATCACAAAAATACCAAAAAATTGTTTAAAGAATGAAAACAAAGTCATAAACCATATGGTACTTATATCCACATTTCTTTGAAACTCCAAAATGTATTCCATAAAAATAAATACAGTATTTTTTTTTTTTTCAATAGAAGAAATAAGTTTAACAAAAATGTTCTTTGTGTTCATTGGTACCAATAAACCTTTCACTAGGGCCGATAAACTATTTTCGATGCCATCCAATGAGGTCTGTAGTTTATCAGCTTAATTTAAAGAAAGCGAGGAGGGACCACGAGATGGCTGGAAGTTTTTTCTAAAAGAGAATATGTTAGTTGAAAAGTGATGCATGTTTCATGTTTTTTCACAACGAAATAGTGCTTTAAAAAAAATCAAAACATGAAATAATGAAGAAGTTGAAACTTATTAAGTATAACATTCGAAATTCGTACATAAATATCCTCATTTTAAATTAAATTTAATTATAATGGTCATTTAGTCAGGAACTAGGTTCAATGATATAATATATCTTGTTTCTTTTAATAGTATCCTCTTTCGTGGACATATTTAATTAATTTTATCTCTCCTCTCAAAAGCACATTTAATATCACCAACACACAACACGTCGAAATCATGTATTCTAGAAGAGTTTGTAATGGTAGATGCGGGCAAAGGCTTGACTTTGAGGGTCAAATGTAATCTTTAATGAATAGGGGCCACCATAGAATTACATTGTAGGGTCTAGAGTGTTAATTTCAAAACCTAGAGTGGCCGAAGGTAGCAATTTGATTTTATAGGGACTATTTTTCTATATAAAATTTAAAAATAAAATTGTGGACCGAAGTGGCCATGGCCACCATATGCTTTATTGCCACACTATGACTGTGAGCTGATTGGACCGGTATTAGCCACGCATGCTGATGCATCTTTCCTAGGATAGAGTTGTGGTTGTAACCAAGGAATTTAATTATCATATGATAAAAAAAAAAAAAAAATAGCATAAACAATATCTAGATTTCTAGTCAATATATATAATAATTCTCTAGTCAATATATTTTGACATTAATTTTGTCAAGACTATACTTATATATCACTAGATTTATCTATAAAAAAATAACTACAATATCTAGATTTCTTCACTAAAAGATTGATTTCCTTATCTATCCATGTATGTTTGTAAGTTATGTTATTAGCCTAATTACTTGAAGATATTTATTTTTTTATTTTTGATAATCGAGGTGTTCGGGTCAGTTTGTGCGCATCTCAACTAATTTTCAGGGTGCATTGAACATCCTACAAGCCCAATGTTCTAGGTAAACCACAATGTGGTAGGTGACCCCTGTGGTTTGAATCCAAGAAATCAATGAAGAACAAATTTTCTTGACCATCAGCCAACCCATTAGGCTCCATTACTTAAAATAACCAAACACTAACACTAATAACTGTGAAGTTCTACTTGAAACGCGATTAATTATGTCTTTTTTTAAATTATTCACAAGTTAAAAACACTATATGTTTAATTAAAGAATTGTATGTTTTCAATTTATTGCTTTTCACTAAGAGTTATAGGCTTTATATGAGGATAATCTGCAGAATCTCCTAATTATGTCAATTACAATATATACATAATTAGGACTATAAGATATCGAGAATTAGGTTGTAATCAAGTCGAGCCGAGCCGAGTCTTCAGCTAATCAAGCTCAAGTCTGTCGAGCCAGGAAATGGTGATCGAACTTGAACTCGTTCTGGTTCAAGTTCGAGCTGGCTTGCGAGCTCGAATTCAAGCCAAGCTCATTAGGCTCAGTCAACCCTGGCTTGACCACCCCCAATTTCAGCCCTAATATATTTTTTTTTTTTTTTTTGCTCATCAACCTGTTTAATTATCAATTTTGCAAACACATCTACTATAAATGACAATACATAAAAAAAAAATTAGCTACTGCATTTCCTTAATCATATTAACCATGCCGGTTTGTATTAGAAATTAATTTAAGTAACTAAATTTCTTAGTTTAGTTCACTTGACTTAATTAATGTTTGAGCAAAACGAAATAACATGTGATTTTGAGCCGCAACTAACAATTGTACATGCTAGTAGTAAGCTAGTAACTATACATCAAAATACAAGCCAAGTCATCAAATAGCTGTCCAATAATAAAAAAAATAGGTGGCTGTAGATGGGCTGTCTTCTACCGAAACCACCAGTTTCCCGAGGCTGCAAACAATTCAATTTAGTAAGTTTCTTTTTATGTAAATATTCTAATTGATTGGCTTGAAACTAAAAAAAAAAAATTAGAAGAACAAGAGATCATGCATGCTCCCATGTGGTTTAGGTAACTCTCACATTTAATATATGCATAATCATGAAACGAAACCAAATGAATCAACACGAACCTGCGCATGCCTACTACCGTGCAACCAACTGTATGAATCCCAGGAACTTATAGGATATGAAGCTTGATCTCCAACGTTGCTGCCTTCCTAAAATGAAAAAGGAGGAAAATTAAAGTTTAGTTAAATAAAGATACTGTAATTATTAATTGAACTAAAACTATATTCATATAACATACTTTGCACAATTCTTCACCCATTCAAAGAGCAACACCAATCACATCCACATAAGAGAATCTTTTTATGTTGAGAGCCAATGATTCGATATGTTCAATTACCCTACTCTCGCACTAAAGCAACACCAGAAGCAACCTAATGATAGAGATGGCTAATATATCTCACGAGCCATGGTAGACAAAATTAGGTATTTGTTGAATTTGTCTTCACCCCTGTAAAGCATCAAACGCACCAGGATCCCCCACAATTTATGGCATCCCTCTCTCAAATAATAGTCTAACTCAAATTTACTTGGCTCAACAGTCTCAACTACATCTAGAAAGTTAATAAATCATCTCAATCCTCTGCCTTGTCTTTTTGCTGCCCCCACCGCTCACCAACAGCCTAATCCATCCCTTACTGATGTAGAAGCACAGACAGTATTTATGCTTTACTATCATCATACTCCCTATATACCTCATACAAGGCATCCAGAACAATCACAGTATTTGCCTGCGCTTCATGGTTAGGATACATCTTAGGGAACGACCACTAAATCACCCTCATCTTCAATCTAGGGTCCAGTACAGCAGCCACGACCATCAGCATATTACATTCCCCCCAATTTTTGTCAAACTTTTCTTTATTTTTCAAACCATCCTAATAAAATCACTTCATCTTCACTCTTTCTATCCACATGATTTTGATTAGACAAACTTGTTTTAGAAACAAATTTGCTGTTGGATATCAT